TTCCCAATGGACACAATTTGATAGACTATTATATGAAGATAATGGTGAAAAGATACGAGCTGCACTTTCACTCTTTTGCACATGTTCTTCTTACTTTCTCAAAAGGAAAATCTCTTTTTCACCGTAGCACGAGCAGCGGAGATATTATGATATATTTTGTAAGAATACACCTCTTAAAATACAGCTTTCCGAACTTGCACTTTACCACTTTTCACTTAACAATATTACTCGCGAAACCTCGGTACATGTCATCGTACCGATATCTTGTACCGATGTTAACTCTGTATTAAATTCGTCTTTCCCCTCACAAAGTCGTGCATTGGGTGATGGGCAAAATTTCCACCCTTGAAAATGTAAACCGATGTTGATTTGTCATTCATTTGGAATCTATTCTAGAAGGTAATATAGAATCGTTTTCATTGACGGACCAAGACCACCAACGCATCTACATGCGAAGAAATCAATACGAGTAACACAAATAGATAGTGGAAGAACACACTCTTCTGCATTTACAGTAATATTAAAAGAAGGTGCGTATTGCTGTATTAAAACCGTTATATCGTAGATGTACAGAGCATGCTCTAAAAGTTCCAAAATGAATGAGCAAGTTCCAGATGCGATGACCGAATTTTGGAAACTCGTTGTGTGTTCCATTTCACCTATTCGAATGTAGCAATACTCCATCTCTCTTAAAATGACCGACTCGTCTTTGATTAAAGCATAATCCGCTATACCACCGATGTTTTGCCATCCCTTTTTCTCGTGTAATTTGGATATATCAAAAAGAGAAACATTAGTCTAGATCTTTGAAGTACTATTAGCTAGAAACTCGAACACTGATTTGTAAACTTGGTTTATATAAAGTAATATGTATTATTTATTTCATGTTTAAATATCATTTATGGTGTTTCCCATTAATTCGAAATCAATTTTTAAAATCAAATTTTTGTGTCCAGGATCACTCAACCTTAATGGAAGGGGATGCTCTTGGTTAAAAGAACAAAATAGAAATATTTGTTTGCCATGGGTTCTTTAGAATGATAGCTCGACATTTACTTTTTACTTCACGCAACATTGAATCAATTCGGGATACTGGTTGAAAGCTGATGATTTATTATTTTCTTCTAACAATATTCAAAGATCATCATCTTTAAGAATATCAAAATTCTCGTTTCTCGGGTCAACAAGTTCGCGAAGAAGAAGACAATTAGTCACTAATTAATTGGGTTTAGCTGCTATTAGTATGTAAATTTCTTTGGTTAAGTAAGAGATGGACCCTCCTCCCTCGGATCAACTAACATAACTGGAAAAGTGTGAAAAAAGTGACTCCAAGGACGCGCCCCTTTTCGCCACGTGTCGTTTTCACCGTCCTTTGTATCAGGAGTTGACACGTGGACCGGTGTGGTGGGGCCTCGCGCGTTGGAGAAAACTCTAACTTAACATCTCACGTACCGGTCGATGTGCTAATATTCTAATACTATAGTGCAATGTCGCCGATCTAATTGAATGCGTCCTTTTTAATTTGTGATTTACAGTCATACATTAAAGAATTAAAAGAAAAAAGCCATCTTAAAAATGACATTACATCGGTATATCAGATAACAACTTCTTGAAAGGACCCAAGATTAAAGTTATATGTTTGACTAATTCTCTGCCTTTCTCGTCGTGTTTTGTCAAAAATTGAAGACGATGGACTTTTGTGGGCTCGAATGGGAGGGATCGAATTGGGACTTTGTAATATAGGGCTAATTCGGGGTTTTAGTTGCTCGATCAAGAAATCCCCGTCACCACGTTTTGTTGAATGTTATGCCATGGGACTTTTAGTGATGATTGGACTAATATATCAAATAAATTAAGTAAGTCTTGGCTGAAAAAACTTGATTGCACTTTCTCTCAAAGGTTTAAGATGAAATAAGATTAATTCGAAGGTTTAAGACTCCATTGAATTTCATACAATAGATTTAGGAGCATTTGTGCAATTTTCTCCATTAATAGTAATGCTAAAGGACAGATTGATGGCCGATTTAGTAAAGCTATTCTTTGATTTTTTAGCTACCATTTCGATTTATCGCTTATTAAATTAACGGATTCGGTGGACTCACCTCTTCTTGGTCCAACTAACGTAACTGGAAAACAGTGGAAAAATAAAATAAAATAAAAGAGGCCTCCCCAAGAAGGCGCCCTTTTCCGCCACGTGTCCTCGCACGTCCAATGAGGAGCAGACACGTGGAATGTTGAGGAATTTCAATTCTAGGTTCCAAGAATTCCGTGTAGCTCAGTCGATTTCTTGTTTGCGAAAGGGGGGGACCCACCACTACTCCCAAAGTCCGACAGACGTGTAAGGGCTTGCCACGTGTCGGAAACGTAGCCCCATGCAGCTTCCGACAGGTTGCTTATGATTCATGCATGCAAAAGGAAAAGAAAAAGGGCAAATAAAATAAAATAAATAATGCGCGGAATATTCTGGGCGCTGGACGGTGCCCTGCGGTGGTAGTTAAACAATAAACAGTGGGTACTACTATTTACTAGTGAATTAATATTATAAATTCCTCTTCTTTTTTTTATACCAAAACTTGTGCGAAATTGAAAGGAAGCTTCCTTCCCCAGAGCGCCGGATCCGGTGCTGCTCGCGTGTAGCTCGCCGCGTGCAGCGGCAGCATCTGGTCCGTCGAGTTCCCTCATCGACGCCAAGAGAAGCTATCTCAAGTGCATCATGGAGCGAGAACGAGTGAAAACGTATTGAGTATAGCGAGTGTATACACTCGAGTATTTTATTTGTATAATTGTACAATCAAATTGAAGAGCGCACGTTTTTGCGTGTGGATAAAATAAATACATGTTTAGGAAAATAAACTTAACATCTCTTTAGCAAAGTAAAAATGATGTAATTAAACTAAAAAAGATAGATGATTTGATTTGAAAATCATCATATAGATTTAAAGGATCGTGAGTCGCGTAGCAGAGATATAGCTCACCTTGGAATCACAACTTTGATCCTCCTTTAATATTATTAAGTTATTATTCATTTAGCGTAAAACGCGTGATTTCGTGAAATTTATTTGTGAAAGGCTAATACTAAAGTGATTTTCTAAAATCCTTAAAGTTGGCATAATTGGTTGAGGTGTCGTGGCCAGAGATCATTCTTTCATATCCTACCGACTGCGTCCAAACTGCTTTGGTTATAATCGCTTGTATATGTCAAATGTCTGAACTTAACCGGTTCATCAGGTTTGTAGGGTGTTCCACAACTACTAGTAGCCAGGTTTTCGCTTTCATGCCCCTAGATAAAAAGAAATTGAGAAACATGTGCTACATGGTCAAGATAACTATGATCAACACCAAAGTTATATAGGATTGATGAGTTGACACGACAAAAACATACATACTTATTTAATCAATAAACTCATTTTTTGCCTAGTTATATTTGTGGGGTTGGGTTCGTTTTTCCGAATATATGTTACCCCTTGTACAACTTTATTCTTTTTGGGCATTTGGCTAAGCTTATCCTTCAACTACATATCGGTAAGTCAAAAAGAGTTGTAGCACTTTCACATGAGAGCCGACCATAGCCATGTGGACTCCCAATTTTGGGCAAAGTGCGTAACATTATCCTCGGAAACCGGCCCTACCACGACAGCCTATAAACTTAAATTTGTACATTTGAATCATAATCACCCTCGGAATGTTCCCGAATTTACAATAATACCTTCGTGTGGTCTTGCAATTATGAAGTCGGTTGCCAGGGTTATAGTAGTAAATCCGCGAAGAGCTTGACTTTTGGGTCTTCCAAAAGATCCAACGACATTAACTATCAATATTCTAGCACCGTCCACCAACTCCAGATCTTTGGTTACCGACCGTCCGATCGATTCACACTGACCCACGCGGACTTCGATCCATTGGTGGAGCTCCAAAACGACCTCGTTTAAGGAGAAATGGCCAACTGGACAGACACTATCTTTGGTTTGTCTAAATTGTCGGTACGAAACTCCTTGATTCAAGCAGCTTCCATCCAATGTCCCGATCACAGGAATGAGGAAATCAATCGCCGCATTATCTCCAAGATTTAGTCACCTTAACTAAAAAATTATTTCTCCAACTCTATATAAACGGTGCATCCTCCTCTTGCCAAATTCATCAACTCACACTCAGCCAAGCAAATCGCAAAACCTTCTCAAACACACGCTCTGCAACCCCCTGACGCACTTTCTTCACACAGACAAACCTTTTACTACCAAAGAAATGGCTCCTGTCATCGCCGCCGATGCTGCTGCTAATGGCGTTGTGAAACCGAAGCCCGAGAACCAGCAGCCCAGCTGTGCCTACGTGACGTTTTTGGCCGGAAACGGCGATTACGTGAAGGGCGTGGTCGGGCTGGCCAAGGGGCTGAGGAAGGCGAAGAGCAAGTACCCGCTCGTGGTGGCGATCTTGCCGGACGTGCCGGCGGATCACCGGAAGATCCTGGTGGATCAGGGCTGCATCGTGAGGGAGATCGAGCCCGTCTATCCGCCGGAAAACCAGACTCAGTTCGCCATGGCCTATTATGTCATCAACTACTCCAAGCTCCGGATTTGGGAGGTATGCTTGTTTCTTGTTTATATCTCTTTGTATCTTAGATTTAGGTTATGAGCCTGGTAATATTCAGTTATTGATCTTGCTTATTGACTTGCAGTTTGTGGAGTACAACAAGATGACCTACTTGGATGGAGACATCCAAGTCTTCAACAACATCGACCACCTCTTCGACCTCGAGAGCGGCTTCTTCTACGCGGTCATGGACTGCTTTTGCGAGAAGACATGGAGTCACACCCCTCAGTACGAAATCGGATACTGCCAACAGTGCCCCGACAAGGTCCAATGGCCGGACCACGTTGGCCCGAAGCCGCCTCTCTACTTCAACGCCGGCATGTTCGTGTACGAGCCAAACCTCGACACTTACCACGATTTGCTCGAAACCCTCAAGATCACACCTCCGACTCCATTTGCTGAGCAAGACTTCCTGAACACGTACTTCAAGGACATCTACAAACCGATTCCCAATGTGTACAACCTCGTGCTTGCGATGTTGTGGCGTCACCTGGAGAACGTCGAGCTGGACAAGGTGAAGGTCGTTCATTATTGTGCTGCGGGGTCGAAGCCGTGGCGGTACACAGGTGAGGAAGAGAACATGGACCGGGACGACATCAAGATGCTGGTGAAGAAGTGGTGGGATATCTACGATGACGAGTCCTTGGACTACAAGAACATCGTTGCTAGAGATGAAGCGGCAAAACAATCGAAATGGGATCGATTCCTCGCGGCGTTGGCTGAGGCCGGAGCTTTCCGCTTCATGACCGCCCCGTCCGCAGCCTAGTTGTGTATAATTAAGGTTTTTTTCATAAGTGTGTAGAGCAATTACATAGAGTCAGCTACAATTGGAATTAGCAGCTCTATTTATTTTTTCCTTGAAAGGGAAGGGTTTTTTTTTCCCTTTCATTTCCATGATTTAGAGTTTGAAGATAAAGATTTCTCTTAATTATTATTTTTTGTTTTTTTTTTGTTGAGTGGTGTACAAATCTATGTTAAACGAAATTTCAAATTAATGTGTTATTTTTGTTGTATATCTGTTGTCGAAGAATTTTCCTTAAATCTCGATGGATACCTATATGAATGTAATGGAGGACCATGAAAACAAATAGCATCAAATTTTCTATAATCTGATTTTGGTAGAGCGAAGGCAAGGCACTATGAAAAAGGTCTAGGAGAAGAGTAAACTCCATTGCCAAACAGTTGATAGAAAGTAACTATAAAAAGAGAGATTTCAGAAAAAATACTAGATATAAAATTTTATATTACTAGATATAAAATATCACTAAGAGAGGGAGTTGGTGGTAAGATATGAGGTGCACTTGCAATCTTGTGATGATCAAATTATAGAAACTCGTTGTGTGCTCGGCTTCACCTATTTGAATGTAATAATACTCCGTCTCCTCTAAAATGACAAAATTATCTTTGACTAAAAGTATAATTCGTTGTACCACGAGATGTTTAGCCGTCCCACTATTTTCATCCAATTCGAGGATATCAAAATATGAAAATTTACTTAATATCTTTAAAGAAAATGTTAGCTAAGACTTGGTTTATAAAGTAACATATACTTATTTAATTCATGTTTCGATACATTACTCGTTGGTTTAAATATCTTTTACAGTCTGTCATGTTATTTCAAAAATCAATTTTTAATATCAAATCCGTGTCTAGGATTACTCGATCTTAATGAAGGGGGATGCCATTCTTTAAAAGAATAATAGCCCAATAGTCACTTTATATAACAGCAAATCAATTCTAGATTTTTGGTTGAAAGTTATGAAAGTATTATATTCTTTTGTAATATCATATTCAAAGATCATCATCTTTAAAAAAAATTTCAAAAGTCTCGTTTCGTGGGTCAACAAAGTTCTCGAAGAAGACAATTTAGTCACCAATCTATTGATTTTTAGCTGCCATTAGCGTGTGCAATTCCTTTGGGATAAAGTAAAAAGATGGGCCCCTCCCCCGGATCAACTAACATAACTGGAAAAAAAAAAGGTGGAAAAAAGAGACTCCAAGGACGCAACCCATTTCGCCACGTGTCCCTTGCACCGCCCTTTAAACCGGGACTCGACACTTGGGCCGGTGCCATGAACCAAAAGCGAAAGACGCGCAAACGGATACCCGTGCGTGGCGGGGCCCCGACCCGACCGTGTTGGAGAAAATTCTTTACATAACATCTCATATACGGCATACGAGTGGTAGTATCGCCAATCTGATCAAGTGCCTCTTTTTCATTGGATTTACAGACAAACATCCCCCTCAATTGGGATGGGACAAAATTCCCACCATTGAATATGGAGACCAATGCCGATTTGTCGCGCATCTTAGCCTTTATATGGAAAGGCAATAGAGAATATCTTTTCATTGAGAGAGACCACCAACACGTCATGTGCGAAGAAACCGACGCAAACGATACAAATAGATTATAAAAAGACAACACCCTCTTGAAGGGACCACAATTAAAGTTATACTTTTGTTCGATTCTCTGTGAACCTAACACGACCACCCTTTGTTATTTCTGCTGCAGAATCTCGAGTTTCATCTTCGTCTTGGCTCTGAATTTTGCTGCCAAGACTGGAATTGAGGTTTCTCAGGGAGAATAGGGCTCCAATGGGGTGGGACTGATTTGGGGATTTGAGGATTATGGGCTGATTTAGGGCTTTAGTTGCTCGATTAAGAAGTACGCCTGAATATCAGTCCACGTCGTGCCATCGTTTTGTTGAATATCAATCTACATCATGCCTTCGCCGTTACGCGATGATTGATTTAGTAAAAACTATTCTACCAAAGACCTACACAGCATACTTGAAAAATTCAAAATGGATGGGCAAATTACAAATTATAGCATGCGATGACCAAATTATAGAAATTTGTCGTGTGTTCTTCTTTCCACGCATAATCGAATATGGCAATACTCTACTTCCGTAATAACGAACTTATCTTTGACTAAAAGTATAATCCACTTTATCACGAGATGTTCGATTCTCTGTTTCTTTCATGTTATGTGGAGATATTAAAATGTGAAAATTACTATAGATCTTTATGAGTAATGTTAGCTCAAAGACTGATTTGTAAATTTGATTTATAAAGTAATATGTAGAGGTGATTAGTGCACGAGCAAAGAACCAAAAGTATGTTAGCTTCCCTTTGCTTTTTATTTTTTCCCGTCTTTTCCCTTCTTCTACCTTATACAATCCGAACCATCTGTTTTTGTTGCCAGCATTAATCTCTCTCTCACACACACAAACAAATTGAAGGCCCCCAACCTTGCATAACACGTTTAAGAAATCAATTCTCGTATAAATGTGCAAAAATGTGCTTGAGCGTATATTGACCTGTCTAAACGTATCTAAGCATGTGGTGTTGTTCCAGGTAAATGGTAATTTGTTTGATTAAAGGTGTCTAAGAATGTGATAAGAGCGTCGAAAGGTTCAATCCGTGAACAACATGTTTTATTATTTGTGTCTAAATGGGTTGTCCCATTCATGACATGAAATTTATTAAACTTCAACAAAACACTCTTACTTTGGTATCGCGTAAATGGATCATTTCGAAAATTGCTAGCCTTAATTGAAGGTGATGCAACTCCGGAGCATGGTCGGATGTGGAGGGGGGCGAGTGGCAAGTGTGTGGCGACGAGCTAAGGGTGTCAATGGTTCGGGTTCCCACTGATAACAGAACCAAACCGAACATGAAAGATACATGGTCATTGTGACCCAAACTGTGAAGAACCCAAACCGAAACATGGTTCGGTTTGGTTCAGGTTTTCGGTATTCTTTTTTTTTTTGGTCGGTTCTTCCTCCTCCTCCTCCTTCCTTCGTTCTGACCTTTCCTCTGTTTCACCTCATTCAAGACTACCACAAAAATCCCAACCATCCTCCAGCATTACCACACAAAATCTGAGCTAGATCCTTCGATGGCAGGCTAGGGCCAGAGCAAAGTCTTCCCAAGTCATCAAAGGAATCAATCTTGTGTGGAGCAAAATATGAGGCTAGATCCTTCGCCTCCAAGCTGGGAGTGGAGGAGCAGATCGGAGGGGTTGGTGCTGGTGGAGTTTGTGGTGGTGGTGGTGGAGGGTGGGGAGGGGGGACTGGAGGCGCATGAGGTGGTTGATGGTGGCGTGTATGGTGTGGAGCTGGTGAAGGAGGTGGTCGAGGACTGAGGCAGTGCAATGTGATGAACACTAAGCCTAATTTGACCTCCAATCGATTAAAGAAAAGCGGACATCATTACAAAGAATGTTAATTAATCAAAAGTCAAAGTGCCCGTCTGTCATTCATCGTTAGGGTAACTTTTGGGTTGTTGGTTCAAGACAAGAGAGAGTGCTTGTGAACCTGTTTTATTCACTCAGGTGAACAACCTTGCTTTCCGAGATAGAGACACATTGTAACTTCATGAAATAATATTAAGCTGAGCCAAAAGTCCAGTTGAACAAACACAAAGGGATGATGATATTTCGAATATTAGCGCCAGGCCGTCGTACCCTAAGTGCATTCAATCAGAACTCCTGTAAATGTTAGGCTAAAATTCCCGGGTACAAAATGGAGTAAAAGCCGTCGTCGGGGGTGAAGAAAAAAATCAGGATTTACGTGCACGTTTAGAAGGACATCCTTGGGAAGGATACTTAAGAATGACCTTCACGGTTGGAGAACACTTTGGGTGCGACAGAATTGTCTGGGCCACTTCAAGCAGACCTCATGGATCAATTACCTTGGATTGAAGTGCACAATCACTTTCAAATAGCGGTTCGAAGTGCCCATTCAGTCTCAAATAAGGGCCTAAGTTCGCCAGTTGGTCAAATGCTCACCACCCGGCAAGCACGTCACTGTTTCGACGATCGGAATAAAGGCAATTTCGTCTTTTATTTTTTAATTTTTTTTCTTTTTTATGTTTTTTTCTTTTCCTTTTCCTGTTCTTCTTCTTTTTTTTTTCCCTCTTTTCCCTCCGCCGGCCATAGCCAGGGCTAGCGGAGGTTACCAGCCTCGGGCAGAGGCTGCCCTCGCCGGCGAAGGCGGCCCTCGCCTAGGCTGGGCGAGTGAGGGCGACCCTCGCCCGACGCCGGCGAGGGCAACCCAGGATTGGGTGAGGGTCGCCCTTGCCTGGGCTGGGCGTGCGAGGGCGACCCTCCCCCGACGCTAGCGAGGGCGACCCTCGCCCGACCTTGGGTTGCCCTATGCTCTCACCGGATCTGGAGAGGGTCACCCTCGCCCGCCTAGCCCTGATGAAGGCGGCCCTCGCCTGATGCCGGCGAGGGCAGCCTCCGCTCGAGGCCAGCAACCTCCGTCGGCCACCAGGGCCGGCGGAGGGAAAAGAGGAAAAGGAAAAGAAAAAAATAGAAAAAGTAAAAGACGAAATTGCCCTTGTTCCGATCGCCGAAACAGTGACGTGCTTGCCCGCCGGTGAGCATTTGACCGACCGGTAAACTCAGGCCCTTACTTGAGACTAATTGGACACTTCGGGCTCCTATTTGAGACTAATTGGACACTTCAGGCCCTTATTTGATATATCTACTTTGTACCCCTTTTTAATAAAATGACCCCACTTTGGGTATTGATTTGAAATTTTCCCCCACTGGACTTTAGTGATGATTGGACTAATATATCGAATAAATCAGGTAAGACTTGACTGAAAAAAACTTGATTGTACTTTCTCTCAAAGGTTTTAGGCGAAATAAGATTAATTCGAAGGTTGAAGACTCCATTGAATTTCATGCAATAGATTTAGGAGTAGGGCTGTCAAAATAACATGATCAAACACGACCCGATCCGAACCGATCCGACCCGACTTGACCCGACCCGAAAATTTTCGTATTGGGTCGGGTTAGGCCTCAACTTGTTTGGGTAACAATAAAGATAATTGGGTATTGTTTTGAATTTATTGAGCTCGGGTACCCAAGCACAACCCAAACAAGGAAACGCTGTAGATCTCTCTTCCACGTCTCTCTCACTCTCTCGCCTCTTTTGCGATCTCTTTTACGATTTCTAAGTCCTCCATCCATGGCTTCCACAGCCTCGCAAAGAGCGAGACCATTGAGTTCCCGATCGAGTCCGACGGCAACCGTACCAACGACATGACCAGCCCCGGCGGCGCCATGGTGCAGGGATTTATGCTCGGCTTGCACCAATCTCGATTCGTGCTGCCCGTTCTTCTTCCCCTTTTCCTACGGAAGCCATTGATGGTCAGGATTGAAGCCCGGAAATGGCGGCCTAAGGCCCTCTGCGAAATCAACAGCTCTCCTCATGCGAAGCAGGTCTTTCTTTTTTGTTGTTGTTTGATTGTTGTCTTCGGCTCGGTTGTGGAGGAACTCGAGACTGGTTGATGGCGAGCAGATATGAAATGGGCGTGGAATGAATTTGGCAGGTTTTTGAGATGATGAGAAAGCAAGAACAGAATCGTTTGGCTGAGTTTGAAACATGGAACCTTACCGGATCGACCGACCGATCACTTGGCTATATCTTATTCGGGTCTTGTCTGCCGGGTCGGTAGACAAATGTCTAGTATTTGGATCGGGTCGGGTATCGTGAAACTCGACCCAACCCGACTCATTGACACCCCTATTTAGGAGCACTTGCGCAATTTTCTCCATTAACGGTAATGCTAAAGGAAAGATTGATGGCCGATTTAGTAAAACTATTCTCCAATTTTTTAGCTACCATTTCGATTTATCGCTTATTGAATTAACAGATTTCGGTGGAGTCACCTCTTCTTGGTCCAACTAACATAACTGGAAAAAAGTGGAAAAATAAAAAAAATAAAAGAGTCCTCCCCCCAAGAAGGCGCCCTTTTCCGCCACGTGTCCTCACACGTCCAATGAGGAACAGACACGTGGAATGTTGAGGAATCTCAATTCTAGGTCCAAGAATTCCGTATAGCTCAGTCGATTTCTTATTTGCTAAAGGGGGACCCACGACTACTCCCGAAGTCCGACAGACGTGTAAGGGCTCGCCACGTGTCCGAAACGTAGCCCCATGCAGCTTCCGACAGGTTTCTTATGATTCATTCATGCATGCAAAAGGAAAAGAAAAAGGGAAAATAACATAAAATAAATAAATAATGCGGGGAATATTCTGGGCGCTGGACGGTGCCCTGCGGTGGTGGTTAAACAATAAACAAGTGGGTATTACTATTTACTAGTGAATTAATATTATAAATCCCTTCTCTTTTTTTTTACCAAAACTTGTGCGAAATCGAAAGGAACCTTCCTTCTCCAGAGCGCACGATCCGGTGCTGCTCGCGTGGAGCCGCAGCATCTGGTCCGTCGAGTTTCCTCGTCGACGCCAAGAGAAGCTATCTCTCAAGTGCATCATGGAGCGAGAACGAGTGAAAACGCATCGAGTATAGCGAGTGTGTACAGTCGAGTATTTTATCTGTATGATTGTACAATCAAGTTGAAGAGGGCACGTTTTCGCGTGTGGATAATACAAATGCATGTTTAGGAAAATAAGCTTAACATCTTTTTAGCAAAGTAAAAATGGTTTAATTAACCTAAAATAAATAGATGATTTGATTTGAAAATCATCAGATAGATTTAAAGGATCGTGATTCATGCAATAGAGATATAGCTCACCTTGAAATCACAATCTTGATCCTCCTTTGATATTATAAAGTTATTATCCATTCAGCGTGAAACACGAGCTTTCTGTGAAATTTATTGGCGAAAGACTAATGCAAAAGATGATTTTCTAACGCCCTCAAAGGTTGGCATAATCGGTCGAGGTGTCACGTCGTTCTCAGCCCGGAAATCAGAGATCGGTCTTTCAGATCCTACCAATTATGTCTAAATTACAATCGAAATATATGCTGTATAATCAAGATAACTATGATCCACACCAAAGTTCAATAGGATCGACGAGTTAGCACGATAAAAGCACATACTTGTTCGATCAATATACTCTTTTTTTATTTTTTGCCTTTTTTTCTTTGTGGGGGTGGGTTCGTTTTTCCGAATATATGTTACCACTTCTACAACTTTATTCTTTTTGGGCATTTGGTATATATATATATATATATATAGGGTTAGTCAAAAAGAGTCGTAGCACCTTCTTATGAGAGCCGACCATAGACACGTGGACTCCCAATTTTGGGCAAAGTGCGTAACGTTATCCTCGGAAACCGGCCCTACCACGACACCCTATAAACTCAAATGTACATTTGAATTATAATTACCCTTGGAATATTCTTAAATTTACAATAATACCTTGGTGTGGTCTTGACTTTTTGGTCTTCCAAAAGACCCAACGACATTCATTAACTATCTCTCTCGCAATATTCTAGCACCGTCCACCGACTCCAGATCTCTGCTTATCGACCGTCCGATCGATTCACACTGACCCACGTGGACTTCGATCCATTGGTGGAGCTCCAAAACGATCTCGTTTAAGGAGAAATGACCTAGCTTCGCCCCCACTGGACCGACAAGATCTTTGGTTTGTCTAAATTGTCGGTACGAAACTCCTTGATTCAAGCAGCTTCCATCCAATGTCCCGATCACAGGAATTAGGAAATCAATCGCCACATTATCTCCAAGATTTAGTCACCTTAATTAAAAAATTAATTCTCCAACTCTATATAAATCGTGCATCCTCCTCTTGCCAAGTTCATCAACTCACAGTCAGCCAAGCAAATCGCAAAACCTTCTCAAACACACGCTCTCCAAACCTCTGACAAACTTTCTTCACACAGTCAAACCTTTTACTACCAAAGAAATGGCTCCTGTCATCGCTGCCGATGCTGCTGCTAATGGTGTTGTGAAACCGAAGCCCGGGAACCAGCCCAGCTGTGCCTACGTCACGTTTTTGGCCGGAAATGGCGATTACGTGAAAGGCGTGGTCGGGCTGGCCAAGGGGCTGAGGAAGGCTAAGAGCAAGTACCCGCTCGTGGTGGCGATCTTGCCCGACGTGCCGGCGGATCACCGGAAGATCCTGGTGGATCAGGGTTGCATCGTGAGGGAGATCGAGCCCGTCTATCCACCGGAGAACCAAACTCAGTTTGCCATGGCCTATTATGTGATCAACTACTCCAAGCTCCGAATTTGGGAGGTATGCTTGTTTCTTGATTATATCTCTTTGTATCTTAGATTTAGGTTATGAGCCTGGTAATATTCAGTTATTGATCTTGCTTATTGAATTGCAGTTTGTGGAGTACAACAAGATGATCTACTTGGATGGAGACATCCAAGTCTTCAACAACATTGACCACCTCTTCGACCTCGAGAACGGCTTCTTCTACGCGGTCATGGACTGCTTTTGCGAGAAGACATGGAGTCACACCCCTCAGTACGAAATCGGATACTGCCAACAGTGCCCCGACAAGGTCCAATGGCCGGACCACGTTGGCCCGAAGCCGTCTCTCTACTTCAACGCCGGCATGTTCGTGTACGAGCCAAGCCTCGACACTTACCATGATTTACTCGAAACCCTCAAGATCACACCTCCGACTCCATTTGCTGAACAAGACTTCCTGAACAAGTACTTCAAGGACATCTACAAACCGATTCCTAATGTGTACAACCTCGTGCTCGCGATGCTGTGGCGTCACCCCGAGAACGTCAAGCTGGAAAAGGTGAAGGTCGTTCATTATTGTGCTGCGGGGTCAAAGCCGTGGCGGTACATGGGCGAGGAAGAGAACATGGACCGGGACGACATCAAGATGCTGGTGAAGAAGTGGTGGGATATCTACGATGACGAGTCCTTGGACTACAAGAACATTGTTGCTAGAGATGAAGCGGCCAAACAATCGAAATGGGATCGATTCCTCGCGGCGTTGGCGGAGGCTGGAGCTTTCCGCTTCATGACCGCCCCGTCCGCAGCCTAGTTGTGTGTAATTAAGGTTTTTTTCATAAGTGTGTAGAGCAATTACATAGAGTCAGTTACAATTGGAACTGGCAGCTCTATTTATTTTTTCCTTGAAAGGGAAGGGTTTTATATTCCCTTTCATTTCCTTCATTTTGAGTTTGAAGATAAAGATTTCTGTTAATTATTATTTTTGGCTTTTCTTTTGTTGAGTGGTGTACAAATCTATGTTAAACGAAATTTCAAATTAATATGTGTTATCTATTGTTGTAGAATTTTCCTTTAATCTCGATGGATACCTTTTCTTAGACTATTATATGAATATAATGGAGGATTACGAAAACAAATAGCATCAAATTTTCTATAATCTGATTTTGGTAGAGCGAAGGCAAGGCACTATAAAAAAGGTCTAGGAGAAGAGTAAACTCGATCGCCAAAAACAGTTGATAGAAAGTAACCGTGAAAAAAGAAGAAGAAAGATTTCGGAAAAAGACTAAATAAAAAATCACAAAGGAAGGGGGGGAGCTGGTGGTAAGATATGAGGTGCACTTGCACTCTTGTGATGATTGTTGACACCTATTTTTAATTTGCCCAAAATTAATTGCAAAATTTAGGAGTTAATTTCTTTAATTCCTAAAACAAAAAAATATTTCTATTTAAATGCATTGCATATAGACATTAGGCATATGTGCATTAATAAGGCCTATTAGAGCATATTTTCTTAAAATTTAAAAAAAAAAAAAATCGAAATCGATTCGGGCCGGGTCGGGGCTGGGCCGACCCGGCCCTTTTCTTCCTTTTTCCTCCTGCGCGGGCCCAGCCCGTTTCCTTTTCTTTTTTCCTCCGCGCGGACTGGGCCTGGCCCGGCCCAGCTGCCCTCTTCCTTCTCCCCCGTCGCTCTCGCTGCCCTGTTCGTCTCTGCTCACCGACGGCAGCGTGACGCACGGCGGCGCCGCTTCTCACCGTCGCTGTCTGGCCAGAGGAGGGCCGGATGAGCACGCCGACGGGACTGGCATTAATGGCCAGTCCCGTCCTCCCCATTTCCCTTCTCCCTTATCCCCTCCTCCCTCTCGCCTCCCTGTTCCTCTCGGCCCTTCCTCTCGCCGCTCGCTCGCCCGCACCGGCTCCGCATGTGCCGCGAAAGTCGCGGGACAGTAGGCCGGTGCAGTAGCCATCGTCACGCCGACGCGGGGAGGCACAGGTTCGTCGTCGCCGGCTATAATAGCCAGAGAGAGAGAGAGAGGCCGGTCGGCCATTTTAGAGGAAAACACAGAGAGAGCGTGAGAGTGTGAGCTGAGAGAGAAAGAGGGCTTCCGGCGGCCACCGCGCCTCAGCTTCAGCCATCCATCCCCGCCGCCGAGCCGACGGCGGCGACACAGAGAGCCAAAGCCGCCCCGGTCGGCCGGAGGGAGAGAAAAACAGAGCAAGAGAGAAGACAGAGAGAGCTGAGAATAGAGAGAGAGAGAGAGCGAACCACCGGAACAGGACAGAACCAGCAGCGTCGCCGTCGCCTTCAGACCCGCCGTAAGCCGCCCAGCCGCGCCGTCGACCGGTGAGCATCCCCGGGTCCCGATCACCTCTGTCCTCCCCTGTTTTTGCACGCGGTCCGGCCGGGACTCGCGCCAGCCGAGTCGCGCGATTCCCGGCCCATGCCGTCGCCGGTCCCGGTCCCCACTCGCAGTCGAGCGTCAGCCGCAGCCGTCGGAGCTGACCGTGCCGCCGGAGGAGGTCGAAACCGGCTGTTTCCACCGCGCACGCCCAGTGTTCGACAAAATGCCTCAATGAGGCCGGTTTTTGTCTCGTCGCCGGCCGGCGAACGACGGTCCGACGGCGGCTCAGGTGAGTGGTGTAGCTTAATGGTGGTATGAGGGGGTCATTTTGGGGGCGGCGCCGGTCTGGGTCGGCCGGCGGGCGGCCAATTTTGGCTCCGCCGGCGTTCCCCCTGCGGGTCTGCGAGTTCGGGTCAGACTCGACCCGAATCAGCAGATCCGACCCGGGTCAATGCTCGGGTCGGATCCGTTGACTCGGGTCGGTCGAAACCGACCCGGATCAGCCGATCCGACCCGGGTCAACGCCCGGGTCGGATCCGTTGACCCGGGTCGGTTCCGACCCGGCTCGGATCCGCAACCCGACCCGGTTTAATATTATATTTTTATTTTATTTTAAAAAAAAATTAAAAAAAAATTTAAAAAAATTTTCCTTTTTTTTTTCTGTACTATTATTTATATATGTATATATATATATATATTTTTTTTCTTTTCTCGAAAAAAAAAATTCAAAAAAAAACAATTTTTTTTAAAAAAAAAGTTTTTTTAAAATTATGTTATATCTAAGTGTTTTAATTTATTTTTGTATTATTATGCATGTTATTGTCTTGTTTAAATTAGACAAGCTTGAGATTGCGCGGTAATATTTTGCATGTTATGTTTATTATCGCTGTATTATTATGTATGTTTTTTTAATACAATTGCATGAGCTGTTGTGTTTTGAATGTCATCTGACTTAGTTAAGGTTAGAACCTTAGGCTGCATGCATTGTTGTGTTCCTGACTGCTAATCGTTTCTGATTATGCACTCGCTTGATCACCTCACATGTTAGGAGAAAGGTCCTAAAATCAATCCAAATTGCCTGACAAATGCTTTCAGAAATGAACAAGGTAAAAAGGTACCGAAAGGGCATTAGTTATTCAACTAGTGTAACCAAGTCCCCGAATTCAGTTAATCTCTGGTTCGTAGGAATAGGGTGATTCTCCCATCACCCTATTTGGGTTTCTAATCGGCCCACCCCAAATCGATTAGTGGCGACTCCTCGATATAAACCACTTGCATGTTAAAAACTTAAACCCTAAGTCGCGATATGGTATGGGCTTGGGAGAGCCCGAGTTAAGTCCCGAACCTAGACTTAGCACGTACCAGGCGAGCCCCCCCTTCTTTTTGCATGTTCGATAAAAAAAAGGGCTCGGGAGTTCGGTCGCGACAATGATCAATTATAGAAACTCGTTGTGTGCTCGGTTTCACCTATTTGAATGTAATAATACTTCGTCTCCTCTAAAATGACAAACTTATCTTTGACTAAAAGTATAATTCGTTGTACCACGAGATGTTTAGCCCTCCCACTATTTTCATCCAATTCGAGGATATCAAAATATGAAAATTTACTTAATATCTTTAAAGAAAATGTTAGCTAAGAGACTCGTTTGTAGACTTGGTTTATAAAGTAACATATACTTATTTAATTCATGTTTCGATACATTATTCGTTGGTTTAAATATCTTTTATAGTCTGTCATCTTATTTCAAAAATCAATTTTTAATATCAAATCCATGTCTAGGATTACTTGATCTTAATGAAGGGGGATGCCATTCTTTAAAAGAATAATAGCCCAATAGTCACTTTACATAACAGCAAATCAATTCTAGATTTTTGGTTGAAGTTATGAAAGTATTATATTCTTTCGTAATACCATATTCAAAGATCATCATCTTTAAAAAAAATTTCAAAAGTCTCTTTTCGTGGGTCAACAAAGTTCTCGAAGAAGACAATTTAGTCACCAATCTATTGATTTTAAGCTGCCATTAGCGTGTACAATTCCTTTGGGATAAAGTGAAAGATGGGTCCCTCCTAGGGGTGAGCGGTTCCCGGTCCGGTCCGGTTCCAAGGTAGAACCGGGAACCGGTTCCCAATTTTGGGAACCGCGGACCGGACCGGTTGGTTCTAGGACCGGGAACCGGACCGGACCGACGGTCCGGTCCGGTCCAATGGAACCGATTACTTAGAGTTTAGGGTTTTTTTTTTGTCAAACACTTAAGGTTTAGTTCACATTTTACTAATTTTTGTCAATAAATTTATGTCAATGATGTTCACTTAGGGTTTAATTCACATTTTACTATTTTTTTATCAATGAATTTATGATAATGAAGTTCACTTAGAGTTTAGTTCATATTTTATTATTTTTTTAAAGAAAAAATTACAAAAATATATATTAAATAGTCGGTCCGGTCCGGTTCCCCCTTGGAACCGGGAACCGGACCGCCCGGAAACCGGTTCCGCTTTTAGGAACCGGGAACCGGACCGATAGTCCCGAGAACCGGACCAAACTCGTCGGTCCGGTTCGGTCCGGTCCGGTCCCGATTTGGGTGGTCCAAGTTGCTCACCCCTAGTCCCTCCCTCCCCCGGATCAACTAACATAACTGAAAAAAAAAAAAGGGTGGAAAAAAGAGACTCCAAGGACGCAACCCATTTCGCCACGTGTCCCTTGCACCGCCCTTTAAACCGGGACTCGACACTTGGGCCGGTTCCATGAGCCAAAAGCGAAAGACGCGCAAACGGATACCCGTGTGTGGTGGGGCCCCGACCCGACCGTGTTGGAGAAAATTCTTTACATAACATCTCATATACGGCATACGAGTGGTAGTATCGCCAATCTGATCAAGTGCCTCTTTTTCATTGGATTTACAGACACACATCCCCCTCAATTGGGATGGGACAAAATTCCCACCATTGAATATGGAGACCAATGCCGATTTGTCGAGCTTCTTAGCCTTTATATGGAAAGGTAAGAGAGAATATCTTTTCATTGAGAGACCACTAACGCGTCACGTGCGAAGAAACCGACGCAAACGATACAAATAGATTATAAAAAGACAACATCCTCTTGAGGGGACCACAATCAGAGTTATACTTTTGATCGATTCTCTGTGAACCTAATAGTCTAACACGACCACCCTTTGTCATTTCTGCTGCAGAATCTCGAGTTTCATCTTCGTCTTGGCACCGAATTTTGCTGCCAAGACCGGAATTGAGGTTTCTCAGGGAGAATAGGGCTCCAATGGGGAGGGACTGATTTGGGGATTTGAGGATTATGGGCTGATTTAGGGCTTCAGTTGCTCGATTAAGAAGTACGCCCGAATATCAGTCCACGTCGTGCCATCGTTTTGTTGAATATCAGTCTACGTCATGCCTTCGCCGTTACGCGATGATTCAGTAAAAACTATTCTACCAAAGACTTACAGAGCATGCTTGAAAAATTCAAAATGGATGGGCAAATTACAAGCTGCGATGACCAAATTATAGAAATTTGTTGTGTGTTCTTCTTTTGCGTAATTGAATATGGCGATACTCTACTTCTGTAATGACGAACTTATCTTTGACTAAAAGTCACTACAAAAAAACTGATTTTTTCCGACGAAATTTCCAACGAAAAATTCTGGAAAATTCGTTGAAAACGAATTTCCAACTAATTTTCCAACGAAAAAATTTCGTTGGTAATAGGTCGTTGGAAAATTTTCCGACGAAAAATTTTAATTTTCGTTGGAAAACTCGTGACTAAATTCGTTGGAAACGAATTTTTTTTCCGACGAATTTTTTTCGTTGGAAATTACAAATTTTTTTGATCGAAAAATCGTGGAAAGTTTTTTTCCATCAAATTTTTTTTTGGTCGAAAAATTTCAATTTCAAAAATTTTTTTTTGGCCGAAAAATGGCCCTCGCCGGTGGCGAGGGCCACCTCGTCGCCGTGAGGGCCGAGCTCGCCCAGATCCGGGCGAGCTCGAGCTCGCCGGCCATGGCGAGCTCGGCCCTCGCCATGGCCGGCGAGGCCCACGGACCGGCGAGCGGCGGTTCCAAGCACTCACGCGGCCGAGAAAGGAAGAGAGAGATCAGTCGATTGGACGGTGGCGGTGAGGCGGGATGGGTGGCGGCCTCGCGGGCCATGGCGAGGCCGAGCTCGCCATGGCCGGGCGAGCTCGAGCTCGCCCGCTGATCTCCGGGTGAGCTCGGCCGCTCGGGCGGCCCGAGCCCGCCGATCGGGCGAGCTCGGCCTCCGGCGCCAATGAAATAATTGCCCAAAAATTGAAATTGTTGGAAAATTCGTTGGAAATTTCCAACGAATTTTCCAACGAATTTTAAAAATGCCGAACGGTATCGGTTTTTTCGTATTCGTTGGAAAATTCGTTGAAATTTCCAACGAATTTTCCAACGAAAATTGTATACAATGAAATAATTGCCCGAAAATTGAAATTCGTTGGAAAATTGCACAAACTGAAATAATTGCCCGGAAAATTGAAATTGTTGGAAAATTCGTTGGAATTTTCCAACAAATTTTCCAACGAATATAAAAATGCCGAACAAGATCGGGTTTTTGTAATTCGTTGGAAAATTCGTTGGAAATTTCCAACGGAAAAATTCGTTGGAAATTTACAACGAATTTTCCAACGAATTTTGTTTCGTTGAAATTTCCAACTAATTTTCCAATGAAAATTTTTTTCGTTGGAAATTTCCAACGAATTTTACGACGAAAAATTTTTTTTGTTGAAATTTCCAACGAATTTTACTTTTCGTTGGAAAATTTGTTGCAAATTTGCAACGAAAATTTTTTCGTCGCAAATTTTCGTGGCAAAAATCCAGTTTTTTTGTAGTGAGTATAATCCGCTTTACCATGAGATGTTCAATCCTCCCTTTCTTTCATGTTATGTGGAGATATTAAAATGTGAAAATTACTATAGATCTTTATGAGTAATGTTAGCTCAAAGACTGATTTGTAAATTTGATTTATAAAGTAATATGTAGAGGTGATTAGTGCACGAGCAAAGAACCAAAAGTATGTTAGCTTCCCTCTGCTTTTTATTTTTTCCCGTCTTTTCCCTTCTTCTACCTTATACAATCCGAACCATCTGTTTTTGTTGCTAGCATTAATCTCTCTCTCACACACACAAACAAATTTAAGGCCCCCAACCTTGCATAACACGTTTAAGAAATCAATTCTCGTATAAATGTGCAAAAATGTGTTTGAGCGTATATTGACCTGTCTAAACGTATCTAAGCATGTGGTGTTGTTCCAGATAAATGGTAATTTGTTTAATTAAAGGTGTCTAAGAATGTGAGAAGAGCGTCGAAAGGTTCAATCCGTGAACAACATGTTTATTATTTGTGTCTAAATGGGTTGTCCCGTTCATGACATGAAATTGATTAAACTTCAACAAAACATGTTTACTTTGGTATCGTGTAAAAAGATCATTTCGAAAATTGCTAGCCTTAATTGAAGGTGATGCAACTCCAGAGCATGGTCGGATGTGGAGGGGGGCGAGTGGCAAGTGTGTGGCGACGAGCTAAGGGTGTCAATGGTTCGGGTTCCCACTGATAACAGAACCAAACCGAACATGAAAGATACATGGTCATTGTGACCCAAACTGTGAAGAACCCAAACCGAAACATGGTTCGGTTTGGTTCAGGTTTTCGGTATTCTTTTTTTTTTTGGTCGGTTCTTCCTCCTCCTCCTCCTCCTTCCTTCGTTCCGACCTTTCCTCTGGTTCACCTCATTCAAGACCACCACAAAAATCCCAACCATCCTCCAGCACTACCACACAAAATCTGAGCTAGATCCTTCGAGGGCAGGCCAGGGCCAGGGCAAAGCCTTCCCAAGTCATCAAAGGAATCAATCTTGTGTGGAGCAAAATATGAGGCCAGATCCTTCGCCTCCAAGCTGGGAGTGGAGGAGCAGATCGGATGGGATGGTGCTGGTGGGGTTTGTGGTGGTGGGAGTGGAGGGTGGGGAGGGGGGGCTGGTGGCGCATGAGGTGGTTGATGGTGGCGTGTATGGTGTGGAGCTGGTGAAGGAGGTGGTCGAGGACTGAGGCAGTGCAATGCGATGAACACTAAGCCTAATTTGACCTCCAATCGATTAAAGAAAAGCGGACATCATTACAAAGAATGTTAATTAATCAAAAGTCAAAGGGCCCGTCTGCCATTCATCGTTAGGGTGACTTTTGGGCTGTTGGTGCAAGACGAGAGAGAGTGCTTGTGAACCTGTCATATTCACTCAGGTGAACAACCTTGCTTTCCGAGACAGAGACACATTGCAACTTCATGAAATTATATTAAGCTGAGCCAAAAGTCCAGTTGAACAAACACAAAGGGATAATGTTTCAAATATTAGCGCCAGGCCGTCATACTAAGTCCATTCAATCAGAACTCCTGTAAATCTTAGGCTAAAATACTGGGGTACAAAATGGAGGAAAAGCTGTCGTCGGGGGTGATGAAAAAAATCAGGATTTACCTGCACGTTTAGAAGGACATCCTTGGGAAGGATACTTAAGAATGACCTTCACGGTCGGAGAACACTTTGGGTGCGATAGAATTGTCTGGGCCACTTCAAGCAGACCCCATGGATCAATCACCTTGGACGACTTGGAATTGGCACTGTTGATCAGTATTTCGTCCAGACAGGGTGCATTCTGGAGGAGAAATTTGAGCATTGAAAGAACAGGTTCCCACGCCATCAAATCGGCACTGGGATCAACAATCTCAACATGCTTGAGATGCGTCGGGCACAGGTTGATCCTCCACTTTGCAGAATTCCGAAATTCTTCTGCATCAAAGTCTCGACGGGCTACATTCTCCACAATGAACCGTGTCTGCAGATATAGAACATTATGACAAACGAGGAGCTTTACATTGGATCTAGATGAGATAAACATATCGAGGTTCCTTACCCAAAAAAAAAAAAAAAACATATCGAGGTTGATAGGATAAAATAGCGGTTGCTACGTTAAGAGAAATATAAGTCAATGGAGAATACGGAATGTCATTTAAAATGAAAGAGGTACAAAGACGATTTTCAATCACGAGAAGAAAAGAAATGGCAGGTTTATATGCAGCCTAAGGCTGAAATTCACAATCATTGTATGTTCATGCAAATCTGGTTTTAAAAGTGAGCTGGGAGGGTTCTAGCAGTTGTGTACCACAGCACTAGGTGTACAAGTCATTTGTAAGAACAACTTCTCCAAGTGCGGCGAACTTTCGAGTATTTTTGCTATACCGGGAACTCCCTCATGGTCTGCTGCGACGAGGAACTTCAAATGCCGACATTCTAAGGATGGAAGAAACACTTCTTTCGCCTCCATTAACGACAGCACCTAAGCATGTCAGTCGTGGTTAAGCAGCAGAAACTAATCGCTTTTACTTCTTCAAGCATTAAAGAAGATCATATATAAGACATGCTTGCAGTTCCACCAATCTCTCACAACAGCGGACAGACCAAACAAATGAGCAAACAACCAGCAGAAGCTAGTCTTATCAAAGTTTCAATGTATTGCTGGATCGATGATGGGCAATATCAGGTTAAGATGTGTACAAGTCCTATTACACAAACAAAACGAACTATGGTATCCTCAAGCCAACAAACAATACCCCAATCAATCCTAAGCAAATGGCACAATATGTAATGTCCGTCTGCTACTTGAACCAGAACTAGCTCGCACCTGAAGGTGCAGGCTCCCCATCACCAATTTCGTGACGTGATGCAGTCTCTGGAGAAGCCCCTTGACAAGATCGCCATGAGCCTTGAAATGATTGATTGTGAAAATTTCCACGTTGAAATTTAACTCGGCCTCAACTAAGGAAGATACTCCGTCTAGTTCGAACTCTCCCCCCCAAAAATCGCCCAATTGGTGCAATTTGAGAAGATGAGGAGCTGAAATTCTCAATATCTGATTGTGAACTCGACGAAATTCATGAGAATCAATCACCAATTCTCTCAAACCTCTTGATTCAATCATGATGTGCATGAAGCCCCAGCAACATTTCAACTCAAGGAACTCTAGAACAGGACTGCCACTCAAAACTCTCATCATCACATCTTCCCTCAACTCCGCATGTTCAATGTGCAATCTCTTCAGCGAAGAGCAGTTCACAGCACCAATCATGGAAAAACAGCAACGGGACACATGAAAACTTGCTAGTGTAGTGCAGAGAAACAAGAACTGCGGCAACGCATAAATGTCGAAGCGCCAGCTATGCAGGGTCATGGACACCTCTTCGAGGTCGTGCCGGACAGCAAAGTGGAGCCACCTATCAATGCTTGATTGCATCGAGGCGTGGAAAGGAGCATCAAAGAGGAATCTTTTTACGTTAATTGCGGTGCAGGATAACAGCACCTTGTCCATGAAAGCAATGAAGTTCTTCCGTCTACTGCCGGCGGGTAGAGAGAGAGTAATATATGGATTAGAGGTCCAAGTGGAATGCCATGCTTGGACAATACACTGGTTTTGATGGATTCTTTTGTGGTCAAGAAAAGAGAAGATATGAAGGATTAGGTCGTCGGACAATTGGCTGATGTAATCCACTGGGTTCGGGTTTCATCTCGATCAGAAGAAAGAGGTGGTCGTGGTCGTTTCGGTAGGTGATTTCGATTGGCAGAGAGATCGATCCTGTCCATGTATGGAGGAGGATTCTTCAAGCTTTTGCCTTTGGCAGCTGACGATGATGAAGCGTTTAGGTTGGCAAAACAATAGGACCTGATTTGCACAGAGACTAAACCCACAAAACCTTCTGGCTCATCTTCAAAATTCAGAAAAGAAAGATGCGCGTTCTAAACCTTGGATAGAGATGGAAATATGTCTAAATAGTTTCAGACATTAATTCCCAGAAAGCTATGAAAAAATTGTTGCTCCGGCCTCTCTACGACAGTGGGTACAGGATTGCGTCTATAAGGATTGTTGCTGGTAGATGACAACCGGAGTGATCGGTCGGTTCCTAGTTCCAGGCGCTACCAACAAAAAGCCGGTCCCACAAATTGGGAACCAGAAATCGCCCACTATTTCCTTGGAACCACCCAGAGAACCGGACCAGTCCGGTTCTCAGGTGGGTCCATGGAACCGGCCGTGTCCTGAGTTGGCTGTCCTGTGCATGCAACTTCGAGACCTCTTTTTTAACCACAAAGTGTTCACAGCGCAACAGGAGCAACATTTAAATGTTGACCGCCGACAAAGACCAGGGGTCTCAATAGGAGCGAAATCCACGCCACGGTTAGCTTAACAACAACAGCGAAACAGCAAACAACCATGAGCAAGATTTCACAAACCGCAGCGCAAAGCCATCGAGAAAACCATGCCACGCACCGAATCTCTCCACATGCACAAACTCAAACGATACAAACATGCCACGCTCTCTTGTTTGCTAGGTCCCATTAACAGGCTCAACAGTAGATCGGCGTCTGCGCAAAAGATGAACAATTAAGAGTCAGGAGAGAAAGAGAGAGAGTTCGAGGCTGCGGGAGGCAAGAGGCAAATGGGTTCCTGAAAAACCGTCGAGGCTGAGGAGTGAGCGCGACTGAGGTCTGAGGGTGAGCGACGAGCGTCGACGCTGCTGCTCGTCAGCGAGGTCGTGAGTCGAGCGAGAGAGAGAGAGTGACCGCGTGATCGCAGAAAAAGGAGCAAAGAGAAGAGAACGTCGGAACAATCAGTTGAATAATTGGGTAATTTTAGTAATTGGGGTTCTTATCTGTAATAATAAAAATTTATATATATATTCCGGGTGATCCGGTTGAGTGATTTCATATATGGAATCGAGAATCAGATCGATACCCACAGCTTCCAATTTTTATGAACCGGGAACTACTCAGAACCGGCCAGTTTGAGCAGTTCCCGGTCTGGGCGGTTTCTTTTGCTCACCCCAATAGCAATACTCCGTACCATTTGATTTTCCCTTTTTTTTTTGGTTAATACCACGAAAAACCATGAACTGGTACACGTGTAACAAATTTACCTAAACTAATTTTTTGACCACTAAAAATCTCAAATTGGTACACTTGTAACATAAATTTAAAAAAAAAATTTCAATAAGAAGGGATTGTTCATGGAGAAGAAGAGCGAGGAAAGAGAGCATTCACTGAGAGGAACGCACGAGAAGAAGATATTCCGGTGAAGATTCGACGGCCAAATGTTGTCAGAATTAGCTCAAATTTTAGTATGCTATCTGTGAGACCGAGAATTACGAATTGATCGATTTTTTTCGTTGAAAAACTTCTTCAAATTGTATCTCATTTTCTCCAATCTCGGTTTGGGTTTCTTGCTCTATGTGTGTTTATCAAGCTTCTTCGTGGTGATTTAGAGAAGAACCATTGTATATCCTACTGTTATTGGTGATTAGCAAGGTATTTTTAGCAGTCATTGGGTTTTCCACGAAAAAATCCTGGTGTTGTTGCCACCTTATCTCTTTAACATTTCAGCATTATATTTACTTATTTTGAGATTGTATTAGTTGTTGTTGGGATTACGTTTTAGGGACTAAAATTGGGATCTAACCTTCATTTCGGCTCTTTGTTGACACCTAAATTTTGCCCAAATCATTTAGGGTTTTATCGCATGAAAAATTAGGGATTGATTTTTTAACCCCTAAACCAAAAATATTCTCATTAAATTACATGGCATATAGATGTTAGGCGTATTTGCATTAGTAGAATTTAGTGAAACATATTTTCATTTTATTTTATTTCTTTTTTATTTTATGTAAAAAAATTATCATTATAAAATTTAACAAAAAAAGAAAAAAAAAAAGAAAGAAAGACAAAAATGCGATCTCTTCCCTCTCCCTCCGGGCATTCTACCCACACTTTCACAAAAGAAGCAAAAAGGAAGAGCGGACACAGAAGAAAGGGCTTGGCGTGTTTTCATGAAAAAAAAAGGGGTAAAGCTGACCAGAAGAGACAAAATAGGAAAAAAGCTCTTCTTCTTCCTCTCAGTCGACAGACGTTCAGAGGGGGGTGCAGAGGCTTGAAGAAAGAAGCGAGAAGGAAGAGTTCCAGAGGGAGAGGGAGAGTTCCAGAGGGAGAAGAGGAGAAACGGGGAGGAAACAGAGAGGAGAAAGGAGGAAAAAGAGAGAGTTTGAAGAGAGAAAGAGGAGACCGTGAGCGAGCTGAGGGGAGTCGGGGAGACCCGAGTCTCGCCCGCTCGCCGGAGGGCCGCCTGAGCCGTTGGCGAACTCCCCCGGTCGTCGCGCCTTGCTCCGGTTGGCCTTGAACCAGGTGGGTCTCTCTTTTTCATCCCCCGTTTCGCTTCCCCCTCCCCTGCCTCTCGGGTGCCGGGCACACCGAGCCTATTCGGTGGTCGCCCAGCACCGCAAGACGAGGAAAATGCTTCTTTTCACCTTCAGGACGTGTTCTTGAGCGATTTCTATCAAGAAAAACCTTTGAATCCCGCTGAAATCCACTTAGGAACCCTTAGTTTTAGGCACATTCCACTTGTTCGATGAAATGCCCGAATGAAAACCTAAACCGCAGTCACCACGTTGACCCGTAAAAATCTTAGATTCACGTTTGTTTATTCTGATATTAGTGTTTGGTGATTGATTCTGTGTTGTTTTGTTGTGATGGCATATTGGTCGTGTGTCCGAGTGGGCCTTTGATGAAGCCTTTGCCAGAGTTGCCATTCTTGTCGCCGGATCCACGCATGCAGTTGGAGGCCGTCGTAGTTCTTTTCCCAACCTTGCATCATGTGTTTTATGTGAGTATATGTTTAGGGTTTTAGATCTGGTTGAGATGTGGAGTTATAAAAAAAATAGAAGTCGAGATCGGTGTTTGGTCGGCGGTGTCGTCTCGTGCTCGGTACTAGCTGTCGGTTCGGCGGATGTGGATGTCGGTGGTGAGAGTGGGAGCCCGGTGTCGGTCGTCGGCGTTCGCGACGCGCGTCGTCGGTCGGAGGCCGAGCGGCGTGCCCGGCGTGGTGTGTTGAAGAGCTCTCGGTGAAGAACAGGGGAGAAGTTCTGGAAAAGCACGTAGGGGATGAAGAATAGAAAAGAAATAATAGAAAAAGAAAAAGAAACAAAAAAAAGAGAAAAGAAAAGGAAAAGAGGGGAAAATAAATAAAAAATAGAAAGGAGCAGGGAATGGGGATCCCGGGTCATGTGTCGGGCGGATCGGGTCAGGGGACCCGGTCCGGAATTATTATATTAAAACATTAAAAAATACTAAATAATTCAAAAAAATATTAAAATATTAAAAATTCCAAAAAATTCGAAAATATTTAAAAACCCAAAAAAATATTAAAAGTCTGAAAAACATTAAAAAATTCAGAAAATTAAAAAATATTAAAAAATTCAGAAAAATTCAAAAAAAAATCAGAAAATTAGGAGATGTTCAGAAATCAGTTTGGGCTTAATTTCACTAGATTTTAGGTTAAAAACTCAAAACAAAAAAAATGAAAAGAATGAGAAAAAACCCTATAAAAAATTCCCAAAAATCGGATAAGCCATGAGGGCTTTACTTTAGGGCTTTTGATTGCCTTTTCTTTTTTAGAGACGATCTTAGGTCACCTGGTTGCTTGTTTTCCTTGTGATTATTTGGTTGCGCGTCTTTAAATTATTGGTTGGTATTTTCTATTTTTAGCATGGTTAGACGGAATTTTAGCTTTTTCGATAGGTTTGCCTAGTACGTTAATTTGCAAGTAATCAAGTTTAGGTACCGAAAGGGCACTAGTAGATCGCTAGTGTAATCAAGTCTCCGTACCCATTGAATCTCTGGTTCGTAGAAGTGAAGCATTCCTCCCGTGTTTCATTTGGGTGTCTAATCGGCCCACCAAAATCGATTAGTGGCGACTCCTAGATAAAATTGATTTGCATGTTAACAACTTAAACTTAAGTCGCGAATTGGTATGGGCTTGGGAGAGCTCGAGCTAGGTTTAACTTAGTAATCCATTAGCCAAACCACCTTAGGCGGCGGGACCGGTTCGGGGAGGTCGCGAAACTCTTTTCTTTCCGTTGTTTGTTTAATAGGTATGGCAATGAATCGGATCATAAAGTTCGTATCACTAAAATAACGCAGTTCTTGAAAAATATAGAAGGGGAGAAATGGGATTTGGGACCGGTAGAATCGTAGTCGAGCTTGAATCGAGTTAGGGATGTGAATGTAGCCGATCTTTCTATTCACGTTTACCACCCAAAGGGGTATATAGGTCATGGGGCAAACATTGAGAGGTAAAAACTATACAGCATTAACATGAAAAATTCCAAATATCATCTAGATCGAGCATCACCGCTTTGGCGACCTCGATTTGTGGTCATCCATGACCTTGGTGACCTCCGCCGAGGTCGTCAATGCTCACAGGCGGCCTTAGAGAGTGGCCTAGAGAGGGGAGAGGGGCCGGTGAGGGGTCGCGCGTGAGAGCATATCAGTGGAGAGTGTGTGGTAGCAAGGAGCAGGCTTGGAGGGCTGCCCCCATGCGCTGCCGAGGACAAGGACCGTGGTCGAAGGTCGAGAGCGACGGTTTGGAAGAATAGAGTTTGCAAGTGAGAGAGGGTGTTGGGATTTGTGGGTGATTTGGAGGATTGGTTTTTTTAAATGCGGGCGAGTTGGTCCTTTCAGTTAATGAACTTTAGTCCAAGATGCAATGTTTCTAAAACTAAAGGATGTGATGGTTAAAATACAAAGTTGAGAAGAGGGTTTCGTGCAATTCCCATAACAATTAAAAGACTTAGAACTGAATTGGCAAATTGTCAAAAAGTTTAGGACTCAAGTGACCAAATTGAAATGTTTGAAATAAAATTGGCAAAAATTCAAGAGGTTTATGATTTTTTTGATAATTTCTCCCATTTCATTGTTATGCTAACTGCCTATGACTCAGCGACTCTTGCCAATAAACACCATTTACTTCTCTTTTTAGCTGTCTGCTTTATTTCGCCTTTTGAGTTTCGAACTAAGATCTCGCTCATGAAGATGTCTCTTGTAACACTAAACCGCATGCCTAGTGAACTTGGTCACGCCTTGAATTCTAAACTAAGAAAGTCGGAGCCACAACTTCAATAGAAAATGAATGGGGAACGGGACAAAGTCGGCGACCACGACGTAAAAGCCAGCTCCAGCTCCAACTCCCAACTTGCTCAATGCGTTCTTCTTCATGAACTCGCAAGAGAACTCCAAGACACCGCAGGTCATCTCGTCGCTAGCTCGGACGGCCGGCTTCTCCAATTTCTTGTTGATGTGGCCGCATTCTTCGAGAAGTTCCTTGATGGGGATGGGGATCAAGGGAACCGCCTGATGAACTTCTTTCGGATGTGGCACTTAGCTTTGATCTTGAATATTACTCTTGGGTCTTCGTCATTAGACTGCGCAATAGACGAGCACGGGTCTGTAGCGCATACATTCTGCTTTCCTTTTGATGAAGAATAAGATGAACAATGTACCAACACTATGCGCATCTACGACGAGTAAAGCTTGTGTGGCAATGTTAATCCTTCCCCCGGAGGGAGACTTGATTAGCATTCAGGAATAAACATATGGTTGATCCGAGAAAAATCAATCAATTAAACAACACCAATTCAACTCGAAAGAAAAATGCCAGTGCAAATTTATATTATAGGAAAGTCACAAAGATGAATGTCGAAATAATAATAGTAATTTCCTTACCAAAAAAAATAAAATAATAGTAATAATAAAAATAATAATAGTAATAATAATAATATTGACACTATAGATGCCTAATAACTATTATATTTCTCACTTAATTTACTCACTTTAGATTTCTTAATTTACTCAAGACAAGTTTCAGCCAAAGAACTAAATCTACAACAAATTCATGCAGGAATTTTAGGCATCACCTTTTTATTCTCTTCATATATAAAGAAACTGTGGTAAAACCCATCGATATTGTCGCGGACTCCGAAAATTTCAGACCATCATCAACTTTTGGGCTTGGAACAACTAATAATTGCTCAACGGAACTGGATGAGGCATGCAATGTATAATAATTCTCTTGTAAAGAGTCGGATGATCCGGGGCTTTTGTATGAGTGGGGAAGAAGCTCAACCAATTTAGTTGATATGAAAGGGGCGCATATGGTTTGATCGATAAGGTGGATTCCGAATCATTAGCGAATTGCACACCGTTGATATTGTGACGTTTGGTCATTTGAATATGCATATGCAAACAGCTCTTAAGTATCTTGCACGATGTGAACGTATGCCGTCAATTAGGATGATGTTTATGTCATCGCGCGTTAGGGTTCCAATTCACTATATTCGAGTCTTGATTGGAACTGTATTTTTGGATACTACTGTAACAGATTTGATTGTTGTAGTCGAATGAAACGCCGCAAGGAGAGAGGTTTTGAGTAATTAGCATCTTATTTGGTCTGGTTCTTATGCTCTTAGAAAGATACTGCTTTCTGGTTTTTGTCCTTGTCATGGGAAATGCACAAAACCCTCGTCCCAACTTTTGTATTTTGAACCATCGCGTCCTTTAGTTTTAGAAACATTGCATCTTAGACAGAATTCAATCACTGAAAAGACCAAATCACCCGCGTTTAGAAAAAACCAATCCGCCAAATCACTCACAAATCCCAACACCCTCTCACTTGCAAACACTATTCCTCCAAACCGTCGCCTTCGATCTTCGGCCATAGTCCTGGTCCTCGGTGGCGCGAGGGCGGCCCTCCGAGCCTGCTCCTTGTTACCACAGACTCTCCACTGATCTGCTCTCACTCGCGAACCCTCACCGGCCCCTCTCCCCTCTCTAGGCCACTCTCTGAGGCCACGTGTGAGCGTCGACGACCTCGGCGAGGCCACCAAGGTCATGGATGACCGCAGATCGAGGTCGCCAAAGCGGTGATGCTCGATCTAGATGATTTTTGTAACTTTTCATGTTAATGCTGTATAGTTTTTACCTCTCAATATTTTCCCCATGACCTACATGCCTCTTTCGGTGGTAAACGTGAATAGAAAGATCGGCTACATTCACATCCCTAACTTGATTCAAACTTGACTACGGTACTGCCGGCCCCAAATCCCATTTCTCCCCTTATATATTTTTTGCGAAATCCGTTATTTTAGTGACACGAACTTTATGATCCGTTATTTTAGTGACACGAACTTTATGATCCGATTCATTGCCATACCTATTAAACAAACAACGGAAAAAAAAAAGGAGCCAAAATGAAGGTTACATCCCAATTTAGTTCCTAAAACGGATCCATGCTGGAGAGAATCGGGTAATAATTCACCAATAACTAATCTAATCCATGATCAATTTCTTCCTCAAAACTAAACCAATCAAAATCGACTTAACCCCAGCAATAACTATGTAAAGTTTTGGAAGAGTGACTATAATAAACACTCTCTTAATATTACAAGCACTCTTAATTACACTACTCACAAAAACATACAATTGACTCTCACATTTAGACATGCCACTCTCACGTCGCCCACTGCACCACAACACCACACTCTCTTACACCCCCCTGCTGTGCCCCCGACCCAGCCAACAAAGGAAAATGACAGTCTCATAGCTCAAGACATCAATATAATGGAAAACGTAGAGGAAGGAAGACGGACAACAAGAAAACTCATTTACATATCAAAACCGTTATCGAACCCGGCATCGTATCAGGCGCCATTAAAAAAGTTCAACGCATCCGATATCTCGTTTCCGAGGAACTGGCCCAGAAACCCCAGCACGAAGGGCTTGCCGACGCCCGACCCGTATCCCGGCGGCGGATAACCAACATGTGGATAGCCCACTGGCGGTGGGCCTGGGTACCAGTATGGATATGCCGCCTGTGGGGGATATGCCCCCGGCGGATATGCCGCCTGCGGGGGCGGATATGCCGGCGGCGGGAGATATGCCACCTGCGGGGGCGGATATGCCGGCGGAGGGGGATATGCCGCCTGCAGGGGCGGATATGCCGGCGGAGGGGGATATGCCGCCTGCGGGGGATATCCTGCTTGCGGATATCCCGAAGGTGGCGGCGGTGCCCCGTGCGTATATCCCGCCGGCGGATATCCTGAAGGCAGCGGTGGTGCCCCGTGCGTTGGGGGTGGGTATGCAGCAACTGATTTTGAGGCAGGCGGCGCTGCTGCAGCTGGATAACTCGTGACTGGCTGCAGGGGCACTAGCTGGCAATAAAATCGGAGAACGCCCTTGGTCTCCCCCGATGACGACCTCACTTCGTAGCTCAGTGCCTCCGGCTTCACACCGCCGGCGCTGCCCTTCACGAACAGATCCCCGACCGGCACATCGACCTTGCCGACGTCCTTCTCGAGGCAGGTGCTGTTGGCCTTCTCGATCTGGAACTTGAGGCAGAAGGAGGGAGCCACGGCCTTGTCAACGGTGAAGAAGAAGGTGTAGGCCCACCTGGGGTCCTCGTAGATGGGGATGTGCTGCTTCGGGTTGCTCTCGTCGCCGGAGAGAGAGACGAAGAGGTAGACATCGTCGGCCTTTGGGTTCGGAGCCGAGATCATGGTTATCATCAGAGTCCAGAACTCCATGGCTGCGCTTGAAGATGGTTCTGGAGAACTTGAAGAGGTTTCTCCACCCATTTTTGCGTTGCTTCAAAAAACACCAGAGAGAGAGAGAGAGAGACCTGGGAGTGGTAGAGACAGCAGCGACTGAGGAGAGGGGCGATATATAGAGCGACTCCATTGACGTAGCCCGCACGGACTACCGACGGCTCTTTGGTTGTGGAAAAGGAAAGGAGGGATTGAAGTGGGATTTGGAAAGTTCGATAGAAACTCATCAGTAAAGGACAAGAAAGAAAAAGAAAAAAAGCAGAAATTTCTTTCGAAGAAGGAAAAGCTTATATCACGAATTAATTTTGTTTATTTTGAAGGAGAAAATAACATGACGTGACCTCCTCCTTCGTTTGCAAGTTTCAGTAACTTCTACTAGAAGGAGAAAATGAAAAGATAAGATAACGGCACCGTTACTATTCCAAAAGTAACGGTGCAGTTTGCATCACTCATTTTCGTAAGGAAACCGAATGACTAGCTTGTCCGGTTTCCTTGAGACATTAAGAAAATATGTGTTGCTTTTATATTTCATTACACTTGAGTAATGTTGTTTATCGAAGATTATCTTGAATAAGTAATTTTCATTTCGTGCAACCAAACACTTTTTGATTTAAGAAATGTTTACGGCTACCATAACGGTGCCGTAAGAAAAAAATTCTGACGGTGCAATACTAGCCACAAATTTTAACGGAGGAAACTTGCACGCTGCTTTGTCCGGTTTAAGCTTTTTTTGTCTTTCCATTGTTACTCTTTTTTTCTTGGCTTAATTTAAGATTAAAGGATTTAAAAAGGCGCAAGAAGGACCAATCTAAAGGGGAACCCTCATCGATTCCAGTAAGCGAAATTTCTTGAATATAAAAAGAAAAAAAATTAAATACCAAAATATAGCTAATTACAAGTAGAAAAATATTAAACTAACTAAAAGTTCAGGGGGCAAATTATACACTGAATAAATTAAAAGTTCAGGGACCAAATTGCATATTGAGCCAAAATTTAAAAACTGTTTGTGTCATTATCCCTTCCACTTTCGAAAGGTCTTGCTTATTACAAACTCAAAAAGGCCCCCGGTTCATCGTACACGACATAACATGCGATGAGGAACTTAAGCAGACATAAAATTAGTGAAAGAGTGATGAGGAACGGACCGACAGAATTAAAACTTTTGTTTTTACCGGTATACATGAATATGCCACAGTTTGGATTAGCTTTCCCTAGCTTAGCAAGAAGAGAAAGCTAGTAGAGAAAGAGTGGCGTGTAATTGTAGCTCATGTTTTGTGTTATGTACTGATGGGGCAATAATCAGCACAAGACCGTCCATAAGCACTTCAAAGTTTCAAAAGCCAATCAAGACAATGACGAGGGGAAAACTGAAAGGCAAGGTGGCTCTGGTCGATCTAGCTTATGTTTGTGTTGTGTGCTAATGCAGCAATATCTAATTAGCACAAGACCGTCCACAAGCACTAACATGTGTTGCGGAAGCAAGTGATCGAACAATTAAATAGATAAAATAAGAAAATAAATCGGATTTCAAATTTATGTGATTCGGTTAGGACAATGAATATCACTATAAATCAAGCGATACAACGGAGATTACAACCACATTCGAGTTACTTAAATAGTCACACAGTGTTTAGCCCTTACAGTACCTCGCGAAATAATTTCTTAATCTCATCGAAGAATTATACAAATCATACCACAAGATTAATTGGCTTCAACATTCTCAAATTGATTCAGGGTAATTCACAAATAAGCCGCCTCTCAAATAAGATACTACTTATATATAGATAAGAGTAGATCCAAAATATGAAACCTACTCAAATTAGATAACCACTCAAATAGGAAACTAACTCTAACTAGAAAACCTATTCAAATTAGGAAAGTTTCCTTTCCGGGCTCAAACTCATGGAATATTGTCAATAATCTCCACCTTGACTCAACGTTATAGCCAAGTCACAACCGCTTCTATAAAAACCTGAACCTCATCGCTACTCTTCCAAAGACCCAGATAGGCTCCCTTCACAAACTTCTTTCAAGTTCAAGCCACGCTTAAACTTCGCCATAAGATGGCAACGAGGGTGATTGGTTCCAGGTTCCGAGAACCACCAACGAAAAGCCGATCCCACAAATTGGGAACCAGAAACCACAAATTGGCTGTCATGTGCATGCAACTTCGAGAGCTCTTTTTTAACCACAAAGTGTTCACAGCGCAACGGGAGCAACATTTACATGTTGACCGCCGACAAAGACCAGGGGTCTCAATAGGAGCGAAATCCACACCATGGTTAGCTTAATAACAACAGCGAAACAGCAAACAACTATGAGCAAGATTTCACAAACCACAGTGCAAAGCTATCGAAAAAACCATGCCACGCACCGAATCTCCCCACATGCACAAACTCAAACGATACGAACATTCCGCGCTCTCTTGCTTGCTAGGTTTTATATGTATATATATTCCGAGTGATTTGGGTGAGTGATTTGACATATGGAACCGAGAATCAGATCGATACCCACAACTTCCAATTTTTATGAATCGGGAACTACTCAGAATTGGCCAGTTTGGATGGCTCCTGGTCTAGGCGGTTTCTTTTGCTCATCCCCAATAGCAACATTCCATACCATTTGATTTTCCCTTTTTTTTTGGATTAATATCACGAAAAACTCCGAATTGGTACACGTATAACAAATTTACCATAAATTAATTTTTTGACCACTAAAAACCATAAACTGATACATTTGTGACGTAAATTTAAAAAAGAAATTCAATAAGAAGGGGCTGTTCGTGGAGAAGAAGAGCGAGGAAAGAGAGAGCATTCACTGAGAGGAATGCACAAGAAGAAGATAATGAGGGCAACGGCTTCCGGCAAAGATTCGACGGCAATTGGGGTTGTTACTGGTAGATGCAACCGGGGTGATCGGTCAGTTCTTGGTTCCGGGAACCACCAACGAAATTCCGGTCCCACAAATTGGGAACCAAAAACCGCCCCCTATTTCCTTGGAACCGCCTAGGAACTGGACCAGTCCGGATCTCAGGTGGGTCCATGGAACCGGCCGTGTCCTGAGTTGGCTGTCCTGTACATGCAATTTCGAGAGCTCTTTCAAAGTGTTCACGGTGCAACAGGAGCAACATGTAAATGTTGACCGCCAACAAAGACCTAGGGCAATGAAAATCCGAGACTCCGAGACTTAGGGGTCTCAATAGGAGCGAAATGCACGCCACAGTTAGCTTAATAACAGCGAAACAGCAAAGAACCACGAGCAAGATTTTTTTTTTTTTTGTGAACAAACATGAGCAACATTTCACAAACCGCAGCGCAAAGCTATCGAAAAAACAGAAAAGAAAACAAAAACAACATTCCACACACCGAATCTCTCGACATGCACAAACTCAAACGATACGAACATTCCATGCTCTCTTGTTTGATAGGTCCCATTAACAGGCTCAACAGTAGATAGGCGTCCGCGTGAAAGATGAACAAGAATCGGGAGAGAAAGAGGGGTCGAGGCTGCGGGATGCGAGAGGCAAATGGGTACCTGAAAAACCGTCGAGGCTGAGAAGTGAGTGCGACTGAGGTCCGAGAGTGAGCGACGAGCGTGGAGGCTGCTGCCAGTCAGGGAGGTCGCGAGTCGAGCGAGCGAGAGAAAGAGTGACCGCGTGATCGCAGAAAGGAGCAAACGAGCAAGGTTAGGGCAAAGAGGAGAGAGAGAGAGAGAGAGAGAGAGAGAGAGAGAGAGAGAGAGAGAAGAGAACGTCGGAACAATCAGTTGAATAATTGGGTAATTTTAGTAATTATGGTTCTTATTTGTAATAATAAAAATTTATATATATATATATATTCCGAGTGATCTGGGTGAGTGATTTCACATACGGAACCGCGAATTAGACCGATACCCACAACTCCAATTTTTCGGAATCGGGAACCACCCAAAACCGGCCGGTTTGGGTGGCTCCCGGTTCGGTTCCTTTTGTTCGCCCCCAATGGCAACACTCCGTACCATTTAATTTTCCCTTTTTTGGGTTAATATCATGAAAAACTTCGAACTGGTATACATATAATAAATTTACCTTAAATTAATTTTTTTATCACAAAAAAATTCAAACTGGTATACTTGTGACATAAATTTTAAAAAAATTCTATAAGAAGGGGCAGTTCGTGGAGAAGAAGAACGAGGAAAGAGAGCATTCACTGAGAGGAACACATAAGAAGAAGATAAAGAGGCACTACAAAAAAATTAGGTTTTAGCGACGAAAAATTTGGCAAAATTCGTCACTAAACGAATTTGCGACGAAAATCGTCGCCAATTCGGCGTCCCAAAAATTAGTGACAAAATATATTTGTCGCAAAATTTATTGCTAATTATTTGTGGCAAAATTCGTCGCTAATTATTCATGGCAAAATTTGTCGCTAAATTGGACTAATATTTTTTTTAGGTCGCTAAATTGCGATGAAATCTATTCGTCGCTAATTATTCATGGCAAGATTTGTCGCTAATTTGCCACGAATTTTTTTTTTGGTCGGTAATTTTTTTTTTGGTCAGTAATTTGCGACGAACTTATATTTCGTGGCAAAATTTGTCGCTAATTTGCCACGAAAAATTTTAACTTTTGCCACGCAAATTTCGATTTTAAATCTAATTAACAGCAAAATTAATTTCTAGAATTTATATTTAACATTGATTAAGCACTTAATAACATCAAATATTATAATGATATGAAAATGAAATACATTCATCAACATTTTCCACAAGAATATTTGTCTTTATAGTACACATAATGAGAGAACCTATTGGGCCAACTGCACTTATGGCACAGAAGATGCTGAAGCAAGCTTAACCCGAGTTTGGAAATCTTTAACTAGCAAGGACTGACAAAATCATCATCATCATCATCATCATTAGCAATCTCATCATCATTGTGCCCATCACCTATTGGATTAGTGGGAGATACAAGAGGAACCTCATCGTGATCGAGGTGAAGGTGTCGCATGATCAATTGCATTTGTTATTTGACCACCCTTATTTCTTCATCCTTCTCTACAAGTAAATGTTTCAGTTGGCTCAATTCTTGGGTTATTTGCTCCTCAAGTCGTGTCCTCCTTGAACCAGCCACATTGGAGGATGAAGTTGCAGCAGCCTTCGTTGTGTATACCCTTGACAAGGATCTCATCCCAAATATTTTTCCTCTTTTCATCCCACCCGATGCCTCTACCTATAATGCCATACTATCAACTGATGGCTCAGATGCAACAACACCATCACCACCAACACCGTCACAACCACTAGCAGTACTCATTAAAAGTTCATCATATCTTTCCTACATTAACAATATAAATGAAAATAAAATAACTTCATATATATAACTACCATAAATATTAAGCAGTAGCGGAAGGTAAAAAGTAAAAGTCAATATAGACAAGCCCATGTCTACTTTGCTAATGATCGCTAAGTTACCTAGATCATTTGCCAATAAGTTTTGACATTGTGAGGTAGTAGTACTACCATAGCAGAACTAGGGGTGAGTAGGCAGAATAGTTCCGATGAACTATCGCCTTAACCGAACAAACATATATCTTGAGTCTCATCACTTCTAACCATGACACAGGCATTTTGCTGGTATTGTATCCCCAAGTGGATGAAACTGTGGAACCCAGGCTTAAATTCATTGGGCTGCAAACAACATGTCGAAGAAGAACTACGAATTAACAATCTGCTGGTCTCTCATCATGAAATCAATGGGACATGAAAAATTTGCCGAATAGAGAACAAGGTGAGTCGCGAAGCTAACAGGAATTAAAAATTCACAGGCAAATTGGTCCCCAAAAACATAAATGATGCACTCTAATCAATACCTACAGACGCCAAATAGTTCCTATCGATCGCTTAATAGCTTACATAAAATCGAAAGTATAACCTTACATACCATACCTTAATAGTTTTTGCTCGATCGCCAGTTTATGTCTTATCTTTTTTTTTTGAAATGTGCGTTCAAATGTAGCTGTATATGTTGGTTTCGTCCCCAATTCATCTACCTACAAAATATAAACATAAATGAGTAATTGAATTAAAGTAACTTACAACATGTTTAACACACTTACTATTCTTTTTCTATGCTCCCCAATGTTGATAGAGCCCCCAGCATATGTGGCAGACCCTTCACTAGAACTAAAAGCTCGATTCTTCTCATTCTGTTCACTTATTTGCTTATTCTTTTCAGTTTCCCAAGTTTTCTTAATTTCCGTCCAATTGTCACATGTAATAAAATCTAGCTTTACTTGACTTGTCTTTGCTTTATTCATCACATTTCGTATGTGATCACTGGCTTTCTTCTTAAAAATTCTTTTAACTTCATCCTCTTCCGTTTCATCCCACCTGAACTTCCACTGCAATCAATAGAAAAACAAATGATTTTATTTACACCGAACTTAGTTTGTAAGAAAATAGGAGGACAAAACTTACCCCGAACTCATTCCACCATAAATATTTTACTTCTTTTGAAGCGCTGCTCTAACTAATATACTGCCCCCTCCAAGAGTTATTGACTATTTTATTAAGTTGCCTCACAACATAAGTAGCATCCGTGAATCTGCAAACATGTTAGAACGATATGGACAATGAAACAGTGAAATAAAAAGGAGATGTAAGTAAACAGTGCTAATCAGCAACTAGGATTGAATAAATTCTGAAACATAGACAATTCAATTGACATCCATATCTAAAACCCTAAAAATTACATATACTTAAAAAAATGAAGTACTTACGAATCTCCTTATGGGCATATCATAAATCGGCTATCTTTTTCACCTGTGTTTCCCTCATCATTTGAGTGTTGCACTAAAGAAGGTGGAACCGAAGAAAATTCAGTTCACATGTGTCCAAGTTGTTCCCTAATATGTTCTTGAGGGTCGGAGAAAGGGCCAATGTGTCCATGTTGTCCCCTAATATGTTCTTGAGGGTCAGAGGAAGGGCCAATGTGTCCATGTTGTACATTAGCATGTACTGGTTGAGGCTTAGATGAAAGGGCAGGGGAAGAGGAAAGGGACGGGGACGAGGAAGGGGAAGGGGAAGGGGTTGGTCTTCTTTGTGAAACTGTATCATGCATGTGACCTCCACGTTTATACTGACAAGTAGGAATGTTAGACAAATATCTTAAAAAATATGAACATGTATAAGGAAGACATAATGACGTACATCATGAAGCTTACCATTTTATTTCAGTATGTGTCTTCAGCAATTGTGTTAGTGATATTTTGGTTCTTTCCAGGTTGGAGAGGGAGAAGATGACTAAGCTGCAATCTCCAAATTTTCACGTTTCAAGGACTAGACTTGTTATATATAATTTACCAAAGTCAATGACTGAAAAAGAACTTAAAAAGCTGTGCTTTGAAGCAGTTACCTCACGAGCTACAAAGCAAAAGCCAGACATTAGACAGGTCACTAAGCCTTGTTTATTGAAGCATTTCCCTTTGTCTTTTGGCAAAACAACCATTAAATTATCAAATAAGGACACTTAATCTGTTGTTGACATTTCTCATCTACTAAATGTAGTTTGTATTTATATTTCTCATGCAGATAAAGTTCCTGAAGAACATCAAGAAAGGTAAAGTTGTCACAATTTTTAGAATTTCTATGAAACAAAGCATGTTTTTGCTTGAAAACCCATCTAAACGACTCCGAAACGCAAAAAAAACGACGTTCATCATGGTGAATCTGTGAGTATTTCTCAACAGCCCGTTTCCACACAGCCGACCAAATTTCAGCCCATTCCGAGTTCGCCAAATTTCCACACAGCCGATCAATTAGGTACTTACTTGGCTAAAATTGAGTCGAATACAGTGAGTGGCTTAAAACAACATATAAATGGAATTCAAAGCCATGCTGACATCTCAGAATGGAACCACGAACAGTACATTCAACTCGAGATAAGTCGAATCCAATTTGTCACAAATTGAAAGCTAATCATGCTACTGAACAAGAACCGAAAGTGTAGCACCACAGAATGGCTTCAAACAGCATTTAAAAACAGAAGTAGCAGACCCAATCCAAAACCCAACAATCTCTGCCCTACCCATCTAAAAACTAACGCGCGCCCGAGACCAAAAGTGCAAAAAATTCAGAAGCTTGTTTCGTCGCGTGACGCGAACGTACCTCCTCTAAAACTCTCGGACGATGATCCTTCTCAGATGGGTCCTCGCGCTTGAGGTTCCTCTTGTTCTCCACGATCTTCCTAGCGTCTGCCGAAGGGGTTCCTCTCTCCAAGACAGCTGAAGAACGCCTGCTGCACTGAATCAATCCCTGCGACGAAGGGATCAGAGTGACCGATTAGAACACGAAATTCGTTCACCCAGCTTGGGAATTCGAAATTTCACCCAGCTCGGGAACACAAGCGCTGAAGAACGCCGAATCCGAAGAATGCTCGGGAACACGAGCGCCTAGCCGCCGGTCGCCGACTCGCTGGAAGCCATGGAGAATCGAACCGAATCCGAAGAATAGTCCGGAACACGAGCGCCTGGCCGCCGGTCGCTGACTCGTCGGAAGCCGTGGAGAATCGAGAGAGAGCCATGGAGAATCGAGCTGAATCCGAAGAATAGTCGGGAACACGAGCGCCTGGCCGCCGGTCGCTGACTCGTCGGAAGCCGTGGAAAATCGAGAGAGAGAGAGAGAGAGAGAGAGAGAGAGAGAGAGAGAGAGAGAGAGAGAGAGGTCCTAATTCTACCCCCAAATGAAGACGACGTCGTTTTGCAAATTAGCGACAAATTTTATTGCATCGCTAATTAGCGACGGATTAAAATTCGTCGCTAATTAGCGACGAAAATAAACTTTCTCGACTATTTTTATAGTTCGTCGCTAATTAACGACGAAATTAGCGACGAACTATAAAATTGTCGCAGCAAATTAGCGTCGAGCTATAAAATTGTGGCGGGAATTTAGCGACGAAAATAAACTTTCACGACTTTTTTCTAGTTCGTTGCTAATTCCGTCGCTAATTAGTGACGGAATTAGCGACTTTCTTGCGACTTTTTTCTAGTTTGTCACTAATTCCGTCGTTAGTCGCTAATTAGCAACGGAATTAGCAACGAAAATAAAATTTCGTGACTTTTTTCTAGTTCGTCGCTAATTCCGTTGCTAATTTAGCGACGGAATTAGTGATGAAAATAAACTTTCTCGCGACTTTTTTCTAGTTCGTTGCTAATTCCATCACTAATTAGCGACGGAATTAGCGACGAAAATAAACTTTCGCGACTATTTTTAATTTCGTCACTAATTAGCGATGAATATGTCGCAAATATCGTCGTTAATTTTGCGTTGAACACTATTTGTCGTCAATTAGCCACGAATAAGTTTTCGTCGCAAAAATAGCAATGACTTTTTTGCGACGAAATTAGCTATGACTTTCGTCGCTAATTTTGTCAATTAGCGACGATCCAAATCCAATGAAAAATAAAATATCATAAATGTCATCGCAACAAATAGTATTTGACTTATCGCCATTTAGCGACGAATTTTCCAACAACCTATTACATTAATAATAATAACAATAATAATAATCAACAACAACAACAACAACAACAATAATAATAACAATAATAATAATAATAATAATAATAATAATAATAATTATTATTATTATTATTATTATGACAACAACAATAACACATGTCGCAATAATAATAATTACACATAATTAGTAAAAAATCTCAAAAATCATAATCTTCATCTTCATCTTCATCTTCATCTTCGTCTTCGTCTTGATCTTCATCTTCTTTATGAGCATCATCTTCATCCTCTGTCTCAAAATCAGATTCTTCAACACCTTCTAAATTTGATTCGCGAATTTCAGTTGGATCCATATCTATCATTGCTCCACATGGATCTCGTAAAGTTGGAATGTTATATTCCTCAGTTTTAACCGTGTTACAAACTTCGTCTTGTTGATATGCTATATCCTTCCAATGTTCCTCAATTTTTCTTCGTGCTTTGATTTTACATACAGCCTACCAATCAACTTTGTCACGTTTCAAATTAGGATATAATGCATAATGTACTTGAATTGCTTGTTGTGCCAAGACAAATGGTTCATATTTCATATACCTTTTTTTGTGATTTATTTCAACCAAATTAAACTTCGTATGCACCTTCATTCCTTTGACGGGGTCAAACCACATGCACTTAAATAACACAACCCGCATTAATGGTCCGGGGTACTCTATCTCTATGATTTCATCCAACAAGCCATAAAAATCATCTTTTGAACTGCCACCATTGGATGACCGAACACACACACCACTATTCATTGTGGCTTTTCCCATTCCATATTCTTGAGTGTGAAAATTATACCTGTTTATGAAATATGCTGGATAACTTCGTACTCTTGAATTTGGATCCCATGACAGATGATATAGCAATCCTTGCTCTTCAACTTGATCATGATTACTGTGAATTTAAGGTCACACAAGCAAAGTCAATAATATATATTTTAATAAATGATGTATAAAATATTAATAACTTGGTTTTGGTCCATAGGCAACTTACATATGTTTTGAACTATGCTGCAAATTCTTCGTCACACAAACGGTCAAACTTATTTGGTGGTAGTCTATACATTGAAGTTTGAAAAATCCTATTAACAAATACCATTTATTTATTAGCAAATGTTTGACACACAATACATATATTTACAAATGCACACTTACTCAAAGTATGGCTCTACTTCTGGATAGTTCAGTAAAATATATGTTTGGGCTGCCTATCATTTTTCGCATGTTAAGTAATGAAACTTACATGCGCCACTTGGTTGACCAAGATAATTGAAAATAGAAAATGATTTGCAATTGGGATCAATGGGGCCCTCATCATTTCTTCCTGCTCTCCGCCTCTTGCACTGCACGTGCGACTCAAAATAATATGATGCAAATGTTATCCTTCTTCCACAATATATGCATTACGAATTGAAGCTTCAATACATGTCTTATTCTTCATATTTTTCTTCAAATGATATAAGAATCTAGTTGCAATAGAAAGAAGTTTATCATAACATAATATATAATAAAGTAATTTGAAATATATTAAAAAAATATTTTACCTCTCAAATGGATACATCCATCGAAATTGGACGGGACCTGCAACTTTGGCCTTATAAGGCAAGTGAACTAAGAGATGCTCCATTGAATAAAAAAACGATGGAGAAAATATCCTTTCTAAATTGCAAAGAATAATTGGAAGATCTCTCTCTAGTTTCTCCATGTGTGATGCTTTTAACACAGTTGAGCAAATATCATGAAGAAAATTACTTAACTCTGTAATGACGCCCCATACAAAGTTTAGTAGAAGTTCATTGAAAGCTATTGGAATTAGTCTTTCCATAAATATGCGACAATCATGACTTTTCAAACTTGTCAACTTGCATTCATTCAAATCAACACATCTCCCGAGGTTCGAAGCATATCCATCAGGAAACCGCACAGATTTCAACCATTGACAAATAACCCGTCTCTGCTCCTTGTTCAATGTATAAACTGCTTTTGGTTTTGGTCCCTTGCTGCTTGCATCCACATCTAGTGTTGGCCGATCACAAATATCTCTCATATCTTTTCTTGCATTCAAATTGTCTTCTGTTTTTCTAGTGACATCCATCACAGTATTTATGACATTGTCGAAAACATTCTTTTCTATGTGCATGACGTCAAGATTATGATGAATAGGATGGGCCTTCCAATTTGGTAAATCCCAAAATATACTGCGTTTAGTCCACTTATGTGTACTTCCGTACGCAATAGTATGCCATTAGGGTTTTCAACAACAGTTGGAAAGTCATGCACTCGCTCCC